AAAAAACTAGAATTCCGTCAATAAATATTCTATTTCAATTATCATATTACCAAAACAAAGGCAAAAATTTAAAAACACAATGAAACGTGAAAAAGGACAGTAAAAATATTTATCAACGAAAATGAGGCGAGGTTGAAAAGAGACAAATTTTATCATATTACCAAAAAAAAAAAAAAAACACAAATTCAAAAACACAACGAAACGTGATAGAGGATAATAGAAATATTTATCAACGAAAATGAGACGAGGTTGAAAATGTTGAACGTAGGAAAAGTGAGAAATTTACCAGAGAAAGAAGGGAAGCCAACAGGCCAGAAACGCTGACATGATGATTCCCAATGTTCTAGCAGCTTTCCTCTCTCTCCTCATTTTACTGCTGCTCGTGATCGGTGGATCTTCTGGCTGTGGATCAGGCGACGATTGATCCACGGTCGGGAGCGTGGTCAAACCGGCGGAAATGCCATTGATCTGCAGATGTTTGTTCAAAAGAGCGGCCGCCACTTTGCTCCTGCAACACCAAAACGTCCCAGTTCTGTATCTCTGTTCAAACGAACCTTTCAACTATAAAACTGAAACTACGTCGTTTGCTTCGTTTCACGATGTCAATCGTAAGTAGAACACCCTGTATACATGTATATGTATGTACACCCCAGTTTATAAGTATTAAGACAGTCGCGGAATGTGAAACGTACTTGAACAATCGTTACAAAATTATTTCTCGTACATGTAACGAGTACACGCATTTTTGCTGAGACTTGGTGCTAAATCTGACGAAGAAGTGTAATTTAACCCTTGAACTACAGACCACTCATCTCAGAGACGAGTTTTTACATTTTTATTTCACCGTCATAAGTACGTATACGAAGAATTTTGTTTATTTACATTTATTTACATAAACAAAAATCCTAATTTTTAAATAACTTTGTATGAGTATACTGTTTTCACCAAAATATTGCAAGAAACCTTAACAAACACATACTTACGTATGCTCCATTAAATCAAACAGTTGTACTAAATTAATTTTTACAACACAGTGATTTAATAAATAAAATGAAAAAACAATAGCGTGAGAGACTTCACGTCTATCCTCTGAAAATATTGAAACCATCCATTTAATAGTTATCTATGAAAAAAATTCCCAAACTTCTACTTATCTTTAGAAGCCTCAGCCTGAAATCATACAATAGAATTCTGTTACAAACATACCGGGTGTCCTAATACTTACGAACGCCTTTCGCAACGAGAAAAATTCAGAAAAGCTTAAAATTTTCAAAGAATATACTTCGGAATATCTTCTAACGTTTCAAAGGATACAAAGAATACGAGGAATATTCATGGTACTGTCGTACCTTTCGATATTACACGCTTCAAAACATACATACGATATTTCGTTTCTTGATATTCAATATTAAAACGAAACGTCACTGTAACTGCAAAATGTCCGAGTGTCCTTTTAAAAGTATTATTAAGCCGAACAACTTTCGCCGGGCTATTTTCCAAATAATGCACGTATCCGAAGTTCCAGAGAAGAATGGAGACTGTTATAGTGGATGCAAAGCGCGTCTGACTATAGACGGTCCATTGTCACTGGCGCGCTTTGTTCCCCCCACTCCAGAACGTTTTTTCTCTCTCTCTCTCCGCGCCGCGCCATCGCTTTTCGATCGCACGGTCGATCATATCTCCGTTTTATCTTCCTCTAACTTGGTAACGTGCATTACTTTGAATATTATTTCGAGTGAGAAAAAAATTAAAGCTGCACGAACGTACAAAGCTTTGTTAGACGTTCAACTTACTTTGAATAGTGCTCCGAGGGAAAAAGTTAAAGCCTCGCGAGCGTGGAAAGCTCTGTTAGATATTCAACTTTTACTTTGAATATTATTCCGAGGAAAAATTAAAGCTTCGCGAACGTAGAAAGCTCGGTTAGAAATTCCACTTGAAATTCGTGTTTAACTATTCCATCTAGTCCCGCGAAACGGATGTAAACGTGTTAACTGTTTCAGATTGAAATATTTTACAGGGAACTACGAACACTTCTCCGTGCAGGAATGTGCGAAATATGTCGAAAAAATTCATCAGGATTAAGCGCAGATTTCGCAGGTAGAAATTAATTTTTAAATAAACTTGTTCGAGAGTAGTTAGATGTTAATTAAATATCGAAAAAGGTCGAAATAAGTAGAAAAATTAATTTCTGTGTAATTCTTCTGCTAAATATTGGAAGAACTCAGGACGTCACAGATTTATATGTAGATTTAAATAAAAAGTTTGATTTATGGGTAATTTCAATTATTTTATTGAAAGAGTTTATTTCGAGAATACTTTGATTAAATTAAAGAATAAGTTAAATTTCTCATAATTGCATATACATTGATTTTCAAATAATTCTGTAGCTTGCATCAATGCAATCTATTCTAAAATTGAATCATTCATGGTCTCCAATAGAAATAGTATTATTCATACTCTCCGATAGAAATAATAGAAGAGGAACAACTCTCACGTCTAAAATATTGATCCTAAGTAGAATGTTAACCAAGATCTAATTAATGCAACAAACAGCAAACTTCCAGTAGCGACAAAATTCTACCAACACGTGTCGCTTTTACAGAAAAGCCAGTGGTAAATATGCATTTAACAGGAACTACAGTGGGGACAGAAAGTTGAACACGGGACTTCGTGACGGAGTTCGTAACTTCAACGAAATCTTCCGATTCTAAATTGAGTTACAATTCTAACTGAGATTACTCTGTTATCATTAAACGATATTAATTAAATCTTCTTCTGTTGCACTCAGCACGAACTTGGTTTTAATCTAACAACATCTAGCACTTCTTGACAATCTCCACGGTTGCTTTCCCTTTAAATTCATTCGAATACTACTTGCCAATCGGATAAATTCGAAAATAAAATTAATTATCGTTGTTCCAACGAAACATTTGTATCTGTAAATTTTCGAAAATTTCTTTGCAACTTCGTGCCTATAGCACAACGATGCTGTTCACATTTGCATGCTTATAATTAAACGACCAGAGGAGATTGGAAATTGGAGTTCAGCGAAGAAACGAAATGGCATTTCGCCACGAAACTTCTCCTCGCGCTTTAATTAAACTAGCGACAACTTTGAACCGTATCAAATTCATATTAAATCGTTGAATCACCGTGTAAAGGAGCAACAGAATTAGCTGTGCCACTGTGCGGTGCAATTTTTTGGGGAAAAAGGCGGCGTGCACCGCGGCAAAAAGGAATGCGAATATTGCAGGAACGTGTAACACTGATTATATAAACCTCCTTTCGCAATTATTTCTCGCTCCGGAATCCAGAGAGAGAGAGACTAATTTTAGATATGAAAAACAGAATTTCCTTCTCCGTTGATGAAATTTTTCTTCTGATTACGCAAACAGTTTCATCGCGATTAAAGCTCAAAGTAATTTCATTGAGAATTTCATGAGATATATTAGCTATTCACGTGAAATCAAAGCTAGGAGTTTTTACTTGGAAAGGACTGAAACGAAAAATGTGGAAGTAATTGTAGTTTTCAGTGTTGACAAAGATATTGTGTAAGAGTATGCATTTCAGAACAGAGAGATTTAGATGAGAATTGCAAAATTTACGAAAAGGTTGAGATAAGTTTAGGTACAGCAGAATCTCTCCTGTATTTAGAATACTTTAAGTAACATTTACATATTGAAACACTCCAAGTTAAGGATTTTCTGGAGAAGGAATCCTCTGAGTTCTACTAAGGTGCTAAAAGCTCCTGCATTTCTTGCGAATTTTGTCTAAAAATACACTGATTTTTACAAAGTAGAAAAGACAACGAATAGTCGCGCAATTTCCCTCCACGGGTACACTGGTTAAGAGTAGGAACAAATTTCAGTAGAAAAGTCAATGAACAGTCAGACAATTATCCCTGCGAAAAGGTAGGAACAAATTGCAGTAGGCAAGTCAACGAATAATCAAACAATTATCCCTTAAAAGTAGAGTGGTTAGGAGTAGGAAAAATTTCAGTAGAAAAGTCAACGAACAGTAAGACAATTATCCCTGTGAAAAGGTAGGAACAAATTTCAGTAGAAAAGTCAATCGATAGTCAGAAAATTATTCCTCCCTTATTAATACAATCTTCGTCTGTACTCTAAGCAAACAATTCGATGCTAAACATTATCGTACATCAATAAATAGGTCTATTTACCCAACAAGTATAATATTTCCAATCTGGAAACTGCATTAAATGCTACAAATAATAATAAGAACTTCTACTCGTAAAGCAAAATTTTCCTCTCAACTTGCACATTTCTCTGTGAAGTCTCACCGCCTACAGATACCAAAAAGGAAGGGAAAAAAAACAAATTTTAACTCCGTTAAATTCACACCTCGAGCTTTTATAATTACAAGCGGCGGAAAATTGCACTTCCGTTCGCGGTTATACCTTGCATCGAAGTCGACAGAAAGGAAAGACCCTCGAGTAAACGACTGAGGTTCACCTTTTCCTTCGCTGATCGACTTTCAACTTTTCCCCTTAGCGAGGTAGAAAAAAAAAAAAGAAAAATAGAGGAGGAAAAAGAAGGAAAAGAAACTCTTTGCAGCGTGTTGCCTTCCACGAAGAAACGCGATTCAACGGCACCGTGCCGTCGTGAACGCAATCGTGGCAACTTTTATTAGCCCCTTGGAAAATTACTTTTACATCCCGATCGAGAACTCTCCACTTTGATCCGAATCTCCTCTCAGTGTCCCCCGTCACGTGGATTAGTTCATAAGGGCGTGCTTCTTCTATGCTCTTCGAGGAGGGGGGAAAAAAAAAAAATGTTCCAGCCAAAGGCTAGATATCGAATTAACTGGCAATTTCTGATCCGTCGGCTGACGTCTTTTCAACGACGAAGGAAACTACGCCTCTACACGATGCCAGTCGTTACCAAGTTTCGAGCTGGCTGACTTTATGACGCGTGCAGACCCTTATTTTATCTCTCGAACCGGTTCAACCGCCAATCGACCGTGAATTGAACGTTATCAGCGTAGTTTGGAAAATTCAACAAGGAAGAAAGTGGAATCGAAGACGATTGGTGGAAAACTACTTTAATTGGTCGTGTATATATTCGATTTTGATTATTTCAAAATGTGCTCGAACAAGGAAAAAATGTTTATAGAAGGTGTACATTTTGTAGAATTAATTAAATTATTGATAAAATTGTACATAAACTAATTCTTATAAGTCTTTTTTTAATCCAACACTTCCTGATTTTTAAAAATTGTTTTGCAATATTTATTTAAGTTGTTTAAACTAAAATTGTTTCAACATACATTATATTCCTTTGTAATACTACTTCAACATTTAAACATTCATTGTCGTTTCGTTACAGCGCTTAGTATTCGTTTATTAAGTCTGCTGTAGTACAATAAAGTGTTGAGAATTATGGAGAGAATGACTTAAAGTATACGTATGTTCCATATTGAGGGGAACAAATCGAAAATTCCATGTACATTCCTTGCAACAAGGCCATGTACATTCCATGTAACAAAGCC